GGTCTCCATTAGGGCTTGGTGACGTCGATTACCGCCCTGCACAAAATCATCCACATCCAGGAGGACCACGCCTGCGCATCCGCGGTGAGCACCTGCCGAACGTTCGCTCTCATCGAACTCCAAGTAATAAAGACATGGATCGAAAATGCTTTCAGAGTATCCAAGCTCGAGAAGAACACGACGAACAGTTCTCCTCCATGTAGCTGGCGCGTTGATCAACCCATAGACGGCTGTGAGGACCCGAATCAGAGTCCATTTCGGTCGGCCAGGGATACCTGTGGGTGGCAGCGACGGGTAGAGCTTCCCTTGGGACCTTGTTTCAGGATCTGATTGGCCAAATGCGCTTGTGACATCCATTATCACCAATCGGTAACGCATCGATGCGATGATTTGAAACGTCAGCATGACTGTCGGTGATGCTGGGGTTGGCGCGAATCGTTCTAATTCTTGGGCGTCTGGGTCACGATGGCCAAGCAAAATCCAGCGTGCCTTGGCATGCCATTTCTGGCCCAGCTCGCAGGCCTTCTTCGTGAGAATGAAGCGGGACGGAATGATGCGGCCAGCCTCCTCGTTGCGGATGTGGTTGGCCTCCTCCTCAGTCTTGACAAACTCAATGGCGTGCCCATTTTCGAGGTTCTCTATTTCCGTCACCTTGGCACTGTCAAATAACTTCACCTCTTCCACGGTGAACTCCCGTTCGTTCAGTTCTTTGGCCCCTTTCTTAGTTAATGCCACAAAAGCACCGTGGATCTCATTCTCATCGCAGATCATGTCGGCATACAGGAGCTTCTTGAAGACTTTCAAGTCCCGGATGTTGGCCATGGCTGGGTGCTTGCTTCTGTCACAAACCTCTGTCTTGCAGTCGGCAACCCACGCACCGAAAATCTTTGACCTCTGTGGTGCTGAGCTAGAGGCAGCTCCACCACCACTGACGTCATCGAGGCCACGCTTCACCCGGTAGTCAAAGAGCCTTGCATCCTCATTTGGTTGCCCTTCGCGATCTGGTCGCTCCACATCGGACAAGTCTACGCCAGGATCCGGATGTCCACGCACTCGTTTGTAGACCAACATGGTCTTCACAGACTTCACCTTCTCAGGCAGTGGCCGATGTAAGTCCTTGGACTTTTCCTTCCCAGTGATATTCTCCCTGCGGATGACCTCACCACTGCTGTTGTCGATTGTCACCCGTTGGATGACGTCGGACCACATTGGACCCATGGAGTTTGATGTTCGAAACCTCCGTGCCCCAGCATCATAGCGAACCCACTTTCGCAGCTGTGTGCCATCTCCTGCAGGTGGCCACTCAGCTGGCTTCGGGGGCGAGGGTGAGCTTGAGGAGCTTAAGCTTGAAGAAGATGAGGTACTCCCCGTGGTCTTGGAAGAGCTGTTGGATCTGGACACATCTACATCACCAGAGGACCCTCCACTGTGGCTGGACACATCAATATTGTGGACCACGGGATCTGGAACTGGAATTTCTGCGGGTTCTGGATGCTGTTCTGACGCATCTGTTAAATCTGGACTGTACAAGTCCTCATCATCACCACCGGGAGGATCTGGAACTGGAATTTCTGTGGGTTCTGGACGCTGTTCTGAAGCATCGCCTGCTCCTCGATCTCGTCCACCGGGCGGTAGTGTCAACGTACTGCAACTTCTCGGTGTCATACTTCAACCGGGTCTTCGCCTTGAGGAGCTCGGTGGGAATAGATTCCAGGCCTGCTCGGCCTGCGTCCGACATCTTGAACACTTGGCCCACGTTACATTTCCAGATTTCCCCTCGGCGGGAAATCCATACTGTGTGTCCTCGTTGAAGAATCACCCAACAGGGTCCAACCTTAGCAGTCGTTCCCCTTCGGCCCGACCGCCACACAAGAACTGGCTCGCCCTCCTCAAACTGAAGACTCTGCAGCTCCTGTCGTGGCCTAGCAAGTCGGGCTCGACGAAGTCGCGTCTTGGAGCCCAGCTCAATCAGTGCTTTCCGGGCTGCCTGTCGGGTTTGATTGGCAGCTTGGCATGCAGCATCAGCACTGGCACTCAAGTGGTACTCCCGACCGTCTGCAAGACAATCCAAGCTCAGTGACGGTTGTCTCCCGAGTACCCTCTGCATGGGCCGGGCTGTATCCTGACCTGTTGGTCAAAGTCTGAATGGCCCAAGAGACTTCAAACTTCAAAGATCATGTCTTCCACCTCCGCAATGGTTTGAGGTTGTCGCAGTTCACGTGTGCGGTAGTAGGCGGACTTGAACATTCCCCCTCGGCGCTCAACTGTTCCCAGCTCGAACGGTGCCTGTCGGTTGATCTCCACTGGCTGGATTCCATGCATCTCCAGCCCATCTTGAAAAGGAGCTCCAGTAAACTCTTTTCCTTCATCATACATCACACATTGTGGGGCACCGAAGACGCGCAGCCAGAGTCGGTTGAAGGCAGACCACGTCGCCGAGGAAGAGCGCCGCTTGTAGTCGATCAACCCAAACGAACTATACAATGTTCCCCATACACGTGATATTCAAGACTGGCAAGTCAGCCCTGTCTGTAACACCCGCCAGGAAAAGAAGGTCCACCCCCACAACGATATTGAAATCGAATGTTCTTGGTGTTGCCGAAGGTAGCCTGGTCGGAGGACGGCGTTCCTTTGCACATCCGGCACAGGAGAATTCTCTCAGCACGTACTGTAAAATACTTTCCTTGGTTCCTGCTGCTCGCAGTAGCCGGACAAACTCCCTCTCATGGGGGCGTCCCAGGTTCACATGGGCACGAAGTACTTCCGCCTTCTCGCGATTTGAAATCTCCTCCGTGCTGACGTACACCTCATTTTCCCCGTTCTGCTCCGGTTGACCTGGAGGGTTGAGAACAGGCCACCGGTACAGGATCACCAAACCCTCACATTCTCGATATCCTCGAGGTAGAAAGCCGCTGCTGCCACTTTCCAACCAGGTCCATCCCCTGGCACTGTCCTTTATGGCCATCCAGCGGACACCCCTGTCCGGGGTAAGGGTGAGCAGCATCACCTGTCCGAAGTAGTCGCGCCAAATCTCTTTCAGCCCATGTTCCTGGGCCTGTTGCACCAACGAATTCAGTTCCGCCTCCTCGGGGATGAAAGTCCCCTGGCGCTCAGGTCGAGGATCTGGAAGAAACTCCTCGTGGTCGTAGCCACCTGGCAAGGTCCAGGACACATCCTCGATGTCGGTAACACCATCATCGCATAGATCATAGTGTCATAGTAGTTCTCGGTGTCACCCAAGAACCGGTCAATCGCCTCCATGAGGTCTTTCTTGGTCGCCTTGTCAAGGGCCAGCTCGTTGGGGTCCAGATCGCTCTCTCGCACATACGCAACGAATTCCTCCGCGAGCCCCTGGATCACGAGAGTCTTCATTGGTGGTTGTAGATCATATGGTCGTGTTGGCCGGTGGTCGATGTCCAGAACATTCCACCTTCCTGGACCAGCTGGAGAGGCGATCACCCGAACACCCAAAGGACTGGCGCAACGGAAAGTGGTGTTAACGCCACAGATACCGGCATTCCCGGGGATTGGCCGTCAGACTCAAACTCCCTTGTTGACACATGTGGCATGGCTGCATCAACGCAGGCGGCGGCATCTCCTGTCTGCCCATCTCTCTCTCGATGCCATCCACCTCCATCCTTCAGAGATCCCGTTCCATCTGATCCCGTTCGGAGAGGTCCTCGGAGCCCATCTGCTCGTGTGAGTCCGGGGTCCCGATCTCCACTGGTTGTGGTACTTGTAGTGGTAGTCGACGGGAAAGAGGCAGCGGTGGCACCATTGAGCTCATCGCCGGGGTCGAAGGTGCCTGCCCGGTGCCCCCACTCTTTTTCATTTCCTTCTCGGCCTTCTTCTTCATGGGGTCACGTAGTTCGGCTCCTGATCAGAACGTTGTTCCACTCGTTCATCCTGCCAATCTCCAGTTTGGGCACCTGTTCGATCGCCCCGCAGGTCTGGCATCGAGTCCAGGCCCAATCCGAATTGCATCCATGCTTCGTGTTGCGGTGGGCGCACGCTGCCGAAACTCGCAACACTGGCGTCAGGAATTTGCTTCTCCCCACATGCTCCACACGTGGGCGAAGCTCGGCTGCTACATCGTCTCGAGGTAGCAGCACTGGTGCAACTTGCGACGCCTGGGCCCAGCTGATCGTAGTAGTTCTTGTTCCTGTTGCTGAAGCTTCAAGGCACGTCGTTCCAAAGCTGCGTGCTGGGCTGCCAGCTTGCGCACGTTCCTGAGCTGTGGCTGTCGAAGCAGCTGCTCCAGGCTGGCGCATGCCTGATTGCAGAAGATAAACCACAATCGCAGCACATAGCGCCTCCAACGCCGAAGGCATGGGGAGAGCTTGTCGAGTTCCATTCACGACAGTCACGTCGAGGCTAGAAAGGGATTTCGGGAGCGGTCCCTGGTCCCAAATTTCGCTCTTGAGGAATTCATAGTTTGTGGGAACGGACCAATGACCATCAAACTCACAGATGCAGACCTCGACATGTCCACTCAAGCGACGCTCCAATTTGTGTCAGCAGGTAAGCTGGTAGCAAACATGGAACTGTGCATGGAACGACCTGAACACGAAGAACTCCTGCTTTGCCTCCCAGAGCTATCGGTATGTAGGCGATACGAGTGACTTGTTCAGAACCGCAAACCCCTCGAACTGTTCCACCCTCCTCTTGTGTATACTGAACACGAAGCTTGTAAGTTCTTTGCAGGTGGTTATCCAGTTTGGTGAGGGTCTCGGCTCCGATGAGGCCATGTTGGGCAGCAGTGTCAACAAGAGCACATCCTGGGGGTTCATCACTAGTGCTTGCATAGGTATAGGTCAGGTAGGCGGAACGCACATATTCCTCAGCGGTAAAGAGAACGTCACGGTCATCAGAGCCAGCTCTCTCATGGAGCTGGGTCGGCAACTCGGCCCGACTGGCAAAGCACCTCTTCTGGCTCAGGTTCCTCCGGAACTTGGGCAGCTCCAGACGGCACGGTGAAAGTCGAAAAGGTCTGGCTAGGCTCAGCCGAGGTACTCCACCTGTGTTGCCCGTCCTGGGTGTGCTCGAAGGCGGGCTCAGTCATAAAGAACATGTTCGCGGACGGAACATTGCCTCGCGGAGCTGGCGAAGTCCGCCGCGGCGTGGGCACCGAAGGTGGTTGGCGCGTCTTTGTGGGCATTCTCGTGACCAGTGACCCACCTGATGGCATTGGTGGCATCGGCTGCGGCTCTTCAAGTCCTGAATGGACATGCGAGGAGGGCGGTGGTCTCCCTTCCCGCTACTGGTAAATCCACGAGCCGTTCGGGCATCTTGAAGGGCCTTCCGGTAATCGGCATAGGTCCCGTAGACACCGAAGCCACGATGACCTTTTCCAGGATCTTTCCCCGACCTTTTCCTTTCCCCTTGCCCTTCTTGCCTTTGCCCTTCGACTTGGCCTGCCACCGGTCTGCTGTCTCGCCGTACACATAGCTCATCAAGTCCCCAGCATACTCCACTGCTTCTGACTCCTCCAGGATAGCTGGAAGAGGCCCCTCCAGGCAGAGGTAGATCTCGCCATCCGCTTCCATCTCCATGAGCTCGTCGAACAGGTAGGGCTCGGCCGGCATGTCCCCGTAGTACACGTCCGTCTCCTCCGACCAGTCCTCTCCCTCGTACTCGTCCCACCAGTAAGACTTCTTGCCATCTGGGACGGCGTCCAGCGTGTCGTTGAAAATCTTCCTGATCGCTGTCTCCACGAGGCGGAAGTCAATCGCCCCGTTGGTGAGGACCCGTACTCGCTGTCAGGACCAAATGTCCTAGTAGGTGTTGTCCTGCATCAGAACTCAGGAGGTCCAGGCCCTGCTTCTTAAGCTCAGCAAAGGCTGCTTTCTTGTCTGTCCTTGCTTCCTCCTGCCACCGAAGATGGCCGCATTGAAAGCCTGCTCGAGCTTTGCCACCTTCAGGTACCCATGAGCCTCCTCGATGCAGGCCACCACTCGCTTCCATCCATCCGGGGCGGTAATCTCCTCAACACTCAGGTGAGCAAGGACTGAAGACAACCGGGACCCGTAGGGAATCGAGTCCAGGATTCTTTTCCCGATGAGGCTCTCTGGCAGTCTTTCCCGGGCCTCTATAAGCCAAAGCCGCAACGCGCGGGCATACTCGCGATACTGCTCTTCTGGCTTCTCTCCGTCCCATTTAGGCGCAGCCTCCATGCGGTAGTCGGCGAACTTTCGCCCAGCAGGTCCGGCTGGGCCGGCGGATCCATCAAGGCCCTCTGCTCCCAAGGGCGCCTCAGCAGCAGTCGCACCGGTCGGGGAACGAGGCCGGATAGGAGAAGTCGGGGGGTCCTCTCCCGGCTTCTTGCTTCCGGTTCCGAAGCCATCTCAACACAGTTGGGCTCACACAGGTCTTCTCCTCTACCTCCACACACTCAGCTTCACACGGAAAACTTTCCTGGCAAAACCAGGTACCCAAAACTCTCCTCGTAGGCCTCCAAGGCGGAGGTGGCCAAGGTCGCAGCCACAGGGCTGCCCAGGAAAACAAAACACGTTCTGCACCACTTCTGAAAACCACCAAAGCGAACTCTTAAAAGCGCTCGAGCTACACAAAGTCCCCAAGCTAGGCCTTCTCCGTCTGGAGACTCGCAACGTCGAGGAGCACAAGTGCCTCGAGTGACAAGGGCGTCCCCTTGCAATGACCAGGAGGTATCGGAGCCACAGTCGTCAGCGCGGCTCCGCTACCATGTAATGCGCGGCAAACCCCTGGCAGCACTAAGCTGTTTTTCCTGTGACTCAAGGCGCCTGCAGGATGCATCTGTTCGCTCATGCCAAAAGAAAGGTCGCACGGCACTCATGTGGAATCCCCTTATAATCAGAATGACAAGTCAGACCTGGGCAAACTGAAATACGCTTCACAACCGGCAAAAGACCCGAACGGACGCTGTCAGCAAGCAAGATATTCCCGAATGCCTGCGCACTCATACTTGTAATTCAATTGTGGTCGGGTTCCGGCTATTCTAGCCCGCGAGGCCAGAACATACTATCGCTCGAACTGAATTAATTCTGCACACAAGCACTAACATCCGACTCGACGTGACAAGCAGTCTTTCCACTCGATCTCAGCATCTCACTCCCTTCCAGATCACCGTTCTCCTCAGCGATCTTGGTGAAGCACTCAATGAACAGGCAATACCTGACGGAATCGCTTCAGACTTCTGACGAAACGTGTGCTCCTCTTGTGCCGCGTACTCTTTCGGAAGTACGAAGGTCTTGGGACAGATGTTGAAGTACTGACCCAACTTTCCACCTTTTCCGAAACATGGCTCTCATGCCCATGGCCGTGCACTTTTCATGATGGTTACCGTAGCCCGTAGCTCTTGCATGGCACGGCCTGTTCTCGTGTACCTGTCGATGCATCGCTTCAGAAAGTCCTCTAAGCACATTGTCTGGCAAGACCGTGTGAAACACAACAGAAATGCCAACTCCTTGCGAGTCAAGTGCTTGTTCTCGGGAAAATGATTGACCTTCTGCCAGACACACAGACCTCAGGGTGCAATCGAACACCTCTGCCGGATAGGTTGTGTTGTTTGATTAACTTCACCTGGTACAAACCTTACATTCGGTCATATTCAATCTGCGGTGGTGCTCTCGGCAGCAGGCGAGAGTAGTCCAGTTTTGGTTTGCTCCATGTCCAGCACAGGTTCCAGGCCTGAAGCTGAGACTTGACTCCTCAGTGTCTGGGAGTCTGGGAGAGTTCCACACGTTGGAAAGACCAAGTCCATGCGGGAGTTCCTCCCAACCTCGACATGGTCGCACGCTTCGGGCTGCCGAAAGCGAAAGCCTGGGCTTCGGGCCATCCTTCCGGTGGAAGACGCGGGTCACAATGTCGTAAACCTGTAGACTGTAGGCATCCCACAGGCTCCATGCTGCAAAATTTCCAAGACACGCTCCTCCGTGCGGTTCTGCACGACCTTGTAGTAACCTGGGGCCGGGGCCGACTGATTCATAAAACGATCGTGGGTGCGAAAGCCTCAAATCTAGAGGAAGGTAGACTCCAGGACGACGGAGTGGGAGACATCTCTGCGGTCTGCCATATGGTTGCACGATGTTGCACAACTCAAACAGTCTTACACTGTGGGCCCAAACATCTGCAAGGCTGATCGTCTGCGTCTAGTGAGGGCTGTTTGGATTGCAAGCAAGCCTGACACGGCTTGATCTTGATCTTGGAACAGCACTGCCGCAGTGCCGGAGTGCATTCAACAGAGCTTGGGCTTTCACTTAACTTCTCATGCTCTTATGTAACCAATCGAAAGAGTGCAAGCCGCAGGCCCTCCTTTTGGGATGCTGGGCAGCAGAGTCCTTCAATCCGGGCGGGTGCTCTGGGGCCTCTGAGAGAAGCCTTCTGGTGTTGGTAACCCATGAAGGCTGAGGGAAGCGTCTGGGGCTTGGCAGGGTTCGGGGGATCTCCTTGACTGAGCGTCAAGCGCAACGAGTAAACATCAGTCTCGACTGGCAGTGGTCTAGGCCTCAGCATCTTGTGAGGTCCAGTTTAAAGCACCTCAATGCCAAACATGGACTACACCTCTAAGTCGGTCTAAGGGCAGATCACAGTGCAGGCGTCGGCATCCATCTTGTCGATAATGCCCTCGCAGATAAGCTCTGATATCTAGCGCCCATCCTGGACACATGTGGTTTTTAGCGGCCTGCCTTCAGGAAGACACCGTAGAGCCCTGCACCACGAGAGGCCATTGCGTTCAAGGCCTGGTGTGTCCTGCAGTGGCGGAGAGAAGCAGCTATCGCAGAAGGGTTCAAAGGCAACCGTCTTCGGGTGAGTACACGAGCATGACCGAGGTTGCGAGAAACTTCTGCTTCAAATAACTTGCTTCAGCTGTTCGGCTAGTCGCATGCTTTTGACATCACGGATTCTGCAAATCTCAGCACGAATATGCACGGATACAATTCGAAATCTTGATGAGCTCCAGGCGCATTGGGCGTAGAGTGATCAGCCGGACCAAACTTCGTGGCAAACCTTACTGAGAGGAAGCAGTCATGAAGTGACAGCTGTGCAAGCCTTCCGTGGTCGACATGCTGAGCAGCAGGAGCACCTAGAACTAGAATCGGCTCAAGGCCCTTGAGAAGGCCGCTAGAGATAGGTCACAGATGCGCGTGTTCTTGTGTTTCGGGTCTAGCAGGTCGTTTTGGCCTTATGTCACGCAGCTCGCCTATCCTGGCTGCAAATCTTCAGGGCGAAACCAAGTCTCTCTTGCAGGCGCAATGCACTCAAAAGGGCTCTGCTTCTATTACATCAGAGTCAGGGGACCTCGCAGGGAACCTGTCGCATCCTATCGAGCCCAGGCCGATCTGGTGCCCCTCGGGCCCAGCAGTCTGCCTCTGAGCACTTCACTGCACTTCCAAGGAACCAATGATGTTACAGAACTGAGAGAACAACCTTGATTCGCCGATTCAGGGGTGACTGCATTGTCTTTGAGTGACATGCCCGGGGATCAGCTGCAACAAGAGCCGCACTGCAGGGACTCGCGAAGATATCGCTCCCTCTGGGGCACCACCTGCTTCCACAGAGAATGCTCTGCACACAATCTTCCACACTGTTTCGGCTCCCTCTTGGCATGTGGCCGAAATGGTTTACAAAGGTGTGAACAAAACCCGAGCCCCTGTGCTGGCACGTTACTGTTACACTTGTCCGAAACAAGGTCAACACAACTGAAGAAGTACGTCATTCAAGCTCTGAAACGGCCTCCTGGGATCGTCCCCAGCTAAAGATGTCGGTGAAGTTTTGGAACACTTCATGGTACTTCCTCTTACGCAGCTTGGAACTCTGCATCAGACTTCTTGCGAATTGGTCCTGATTGCACCAGTCTCGACCAACTTTGGGTCAAGTCCCACCTTACCGGCTCCCAGACATGGGTCCAGTTCTATATAGGTAAGAGACACTGAAAGCCCACGACGTACTCAAGTTCGTTGGCCCTGCCATGACACTTCGTCTCGGTAGCAGCCTGTAGCGCCGTGAAAGCCAGAGCCTGCTTGTGATACTCTTCGCCTGTGCCTCGGAAGGAATCTCGTGTGACGTTCAGGCCTAGAGATGCCTGCAGTCTACTGCATCACACGGCACAAGCACATGGCTCTGAGCGCATCGTGAGGTAGGGGTGGCTTCCGTGTCTTCTGGATCTTTTCGCACCTTTTCTGAAGCAGAAAAGTGCGGGCTCTAGCACGAACTTGTCCATTTGGAAATCTGTGCAGTGGGCTTGGAGCTGGTCTCTTTGCAAGGAGCTTCGCCTTCACGCAGGCGGTCGGAGCGATACTTTGCAAGACACTTGCAACAGCAGAGACAGGCGACAGTTCAAGCCCAAGCCTCGGGGTGACGGACCAGGCACCTCATCAATCCCAACTGCTGCTGCCGTTCGGGCTGAGCGGTAAACATTGCTTTGCGACGTTGGCAGCATGGCCAGCTGTTGTGCTGAGCGCTTCGTTCTCGAGGGAGTACCTAGAAATGCTGCCAATGCGTGCGACCAGGACAAGTTGACATGTTCTGACGAGGACGGTACGTCTTTTCCAGCTCATGGCCTTCTGCAACTCACATTACATAGCTTGCTCAAGTGGTGCCTGCACCGGCGATTTAAGTGTCCCAACGCACCGTGCCGGATGGTGAGGATGCAGAAGCCGGTCTGGAGTTGTCACGCGAGATGTAGGGCATCGCAGTCTTTGGCTGAATACTCTCGGTCTCGCTGCAGACCTCGTCGAATGTGCAAAGCTTATGTTCAGATGTCAGGATTGATTCATGAAAAAAGCCACGTGGCAGGGCTCTCGTCTGGCTTTGACCTGAGACCAAGCACTCATTTGGAACGCCCGTGTCCTCGTTTCTAGCTGAGGCAGCATCTCCACAAAGGAAGGAGGAAGTCCTCGCGCCGCACACGAGCAGAGCACACTCAGAGCAAGCTCAAACTGCGCTCCTCTTCCAGACTGCTTGGACGGACAGCTGCTGTGGCTGGACGTGGGCGAGTCCTTTCCGCATCTAACGCTTTTGCGACTGACACACTGGTTTCCAACACTAAGCCAACCGAACTGCGAATCTTCCTTGTCTTTCTGTTCTTCGGCATGCAGCCCTGTGTCATCGTGTGATCCTTCCAGCAGCATCACTGATTCTGGTGAGTGTGCGGCCTGAACTAAACCAACAACACTACGGCTACTGGCCTTCCAAATGCATTCGGGACCGAATGTCTTCATTCTCTTCATGGTCCGGGTTCTGGTGCTCGCCCGACATCGCTGTCGAACTCCCGGCCTGCTCTGGCGTCTCTGGTACTTCCGCGAGCACAGGCGGCTTGGCAGTCTCTGCATCCTCTGCGACCTCTGCGTCGCCTCCAGCCTCTTCATCCGTGCTTTCCTGCTCTTTCCCCTTCTCGTTCTCAGTGTCATCGCCACGCTCCATGTCCTCTGCCGCTGCCTGGGCCTCTGCTATCTGCGCACTTTGCCCTTCAGATCTGGTCTGGACTTCCTGGAACGTCTCTGAAAGGAAATTCGGAGCTTCAACCGAAGTTCTGCTCCTGGGCTCCTCCAATTCCTCTGGTTCCTCCGCTTCCTCCAGGTCCTCCTCGTCGGGCTCTTCTCCTTCTTTCATCTCCTCACCTCCCGCTGTTTCCGATGCAACCTGGCTGCAAGACCCGTGCGACATGATCCTAAACGCATAGAGATTGTGTTGCTTCACGGTTTCCTCGCGGGCGGCAGTTGGGTTTTCACTTTGCTGCAGAATGGCGCAGGTGCAGGCCACAGGACACAGGTCTTCCCACACGGCGAGTGCACCGGGACTCCTGCTGAATTTCCGGTCTTCGTCTCCGAATTGAGGCCATGCAAACGATCCCATTGTTGTGGGACGAAGGAAAACTGCAATGAAGCCCAACCAGACAGGAATGATTAGCAACGGCCATGTGTCAAGGCTTTACATGCAAAGGCTACAGTTATTACAGTGGCTAGCAGCTAGCCGCTCCGACTAGCTACTTGCAAGGTCTCGAGGCCCCCGAACATAGAGTTTTCTAGACGCGAAGCTCGGGCTCGTCAATGCGGACTGCTTCTGCTAAGCCAGAATGAATTACAATAGGGCCTGCATCAGAAGCACGCTGGTCAGGAACGTACAGATGTCTAGGCAAGAACGAAATATCTTCTCGAGACAACCCAACCTTGAATGTTCGCAGAAGCTCTGCTTTTGACAAGGTGCTTGAGAAGATTGTGGATACCCTTTGGCTGGCATCTCGTCCTGCCGGAATACCAACAACACCCAGCTGCTAACCCAAGCCAACAGATACAGTTACAGTAGCAGTCCTTCTGCTTCTGTGCTGCAGGATTCGTGCTTCGACCCCTGACTGACAACTGGGAGTTCAAACGGGCAAACAGCGCCTTTCAACTACAACTACCATTTATTCCCAAACTCAAGCTCTGCAGCGGTTCTGTCGAGTTTTGTTGACATGCAAACCCTTGCCTTGGTCGCGGTAAACCTGAAACAAGTCAACTTCATTTTGTCGCATACAAATGCCATGCGCAGGCGCCTTTTGTCGCTTTTGGGCCCGAGACTTCCTGGCGCCGTAACCGGTCGCTGTGGTGACTTCTGTGCACTCTCTCTCTCTCTCTCTCTCTTTCTTTCTGCAGGGTTATGGGCAAGAGGGTTGCCCCCTCTCTCTCTCTTTTTCAACAGGCCTTTCGAGCCCCCATGTTTCTGGGGCATTGGAACACGCTCTTACACACACACACTCTTTCTTTCTTTCTGCAGGGCATAGGGGTCGCATGTTTGCGACCCTCAGGCCTTCGGCCCGCCCCCCCACCCTTTGTTTTATTGAGTGGGAGGCATTGGGGTCATAATGACTGCTGCACAAGAGTACCCAGTGTGTGACAGACTTCCAGCAGTAAGCCCCCGACCCCGAACACTAACCAACCCCAACCCGCGTCCCGGCCTCATCACCGTGCCCCCTATGGGCATCACTGGGCTAGGCTGAAGTCAGTCTGTATAGCCCCCATGCAGAGGGGCACCAACACAAACAACACGTACAGCACAATTAGTGTCTTACGGTTCAGCTCGTCCCCTCTGCTGTGGCCAGGTACTCTCTTACGGAACATGGGAGCGCTTCAAGACATGTACACAAGCAACCTCGCGTTGTCTTCGGCTAAGCCTCCGACGTCGTCCCCCAAAGCGTTCCCTGCTACGTGAAACTAAGGCCTGCACACCGGGTCTCAACCACACGACGATCTCAGCAAGACTACCCCTAGCTGCAGTTACGGGTCCCAAGGCTCAACGACCCCCACCTACCGACCCTCATGTGCCTGGCTTGGCCCCCCAGCTGCCCTGACATGCGGAAGGAAGAGAAAGCAAGAAACTGAAAACGTAGAGCCCCCAACAGCCAAAACGCAAGCCCCTCAGTCATCATTGTCAAGGGAGCTGGGGGTGGTGAATCTACGCCTAGGTTCACGTCTGCGTCCCCCGTTCACTGCGCTCACTTCGGCTGCGGCAGCGGTGGTAGTAGGTCTCTCGGTACTGGCCGCCTCTGTGTGCCCCCCGTCAGCGGTGGTAGTAGACGTCGACGGTCTGGCCGCCCCCTCTTGTGGTTCTGGCTGCTCCGGTGCCGAGTCTTCCACTAGCTCGACCTCGTCCCCCCAGTGCTCTGTGGTCCACTGGTGCAGGTGCATGACGGCGATGTTCACCATCGCCTGCATCTCCCCCGTCAGGAAGGGCTGCAGCTGCCGCAGTTTCCGCTTGGCCCTGTAGACATGGATGGCCTGCGGTCCCCCCGCTGCATGTTGTCTGGTCGTTGTCTCTCGTCCCCCTGTCGCCAGCGCGATGACGTCCGCGGGGTGCGTCGCAGCGGCACTCACCCCCTCTGCTTCGCCTGTGTGCGGGTAGTTGCCGACCAGCACGTGGACCCCATCTGCTGCTGCTGCGAGAAGGTTCTGCAGGGTCGCGAGCTGGTCGTCCGGGTACTTCCCCAGTCCCCCGTGGCGCAGGATTTCCTCCATCATCTCAGCTGCCGCCTCTGCTGCATCAGTGGCGTGGTGTGTCCTCGTCCAGTCTCTCGAGCGTCGTCCCCCAAGGAGCAGGCGTCCCCCGGCTCGCACCAGGTCTTGTACTTCCAGCAGCTCTCCCCGGTCAGGAGGGCTGCCCCCCAGCGTTGTGCGGTCTGCCATGAGGCCTACCACTAAGGCTGCGACTTGGAAGGCGTTCGGGCTTGGTGGGGGAGGCTGCGGCGTTGCCCGTCCCCCCGGCAACATGTCTCTCGCCTCCCTCAGCATTCTCTCCACGTCGGGCAGCTGTAATTGGCATGCTAGGTTGGCTGCTTCCGCGAGGTGGTGTGCTGCACTGGTGGCTGTTGTGTTGTCGGCGGGCCCCCCTGCTTCAGCTTGTCGCTGTGGCCCCCTGCTTGCTCACTGGCTGCTGCGGTCTCGGCTTCCTCACGCTGCAGTTGTTGCTGGGCTTGTCTGCGGGCTTTCTTGAGTGGGCTCGGCGTGCCCTGGTCGCTGTGGATATGGCTTGCCTGGCTGCTCTCCCCCCCCTCTCGCTCCTCCTGGCCCCGTCGTGGCTCGGGTCTTGCCTCTGGCCCCCACATCTCCTCCTCCGTGGTGGTCCCCGGCATGTCCTCGGGGTGGTTTTCTATGGATCCAGGGCTCTCTGGCTGGTGTTGTGTGGCTGCCGGTTGGCATGGTGGTGGTGTCCACGGCACCGTTGCTGCTTCGGCTTGGTCCTGTGTGTCCCCTTCTCCGGCTGCTGCTGTTGCCCTGTGGCTTGGGCTGCTGCTGCTTCCTCTGGCGGGGGTGGTTTGCACTAGGCTTTGGTGGTCTGGTGGTGGATCTTCGCTGGGCCAGCTGCTCTCTGAGTCACTCGGTGGTTGTGGTGGGGGTCTTTTGGGGGCGGCTGGTTGCGGCCTCGGCGTGTCCCCTTGCTTGTGTTGGAATGCTGCTCGGGCTGCCGCTGAGTAGAAGGAGTATCCTCCCACGTGTTGTGTAGGTGTGGTTCTTCCGGTGTGCTGCGGCTGGCTGGCTGTCTGCGAGGCGTCAGCCGTTGCGGCTCCCTGTCTCTCTGCCTCTGCGGTTGTGCCTCCCATTGGCTGCTGCTGGTGTGTCGGCGGTGCTTGCTGGAGCTGCTGTGGTGGCGCCTTGGGTTGGGCTCTGCCGGGTGGTGCTTTGGGCTTGGCTCTCTGGGGGCCCGGCTGTGTCCCCCCGCTGCCGCGTCCGTCATTGCTGGTCTGCCCTCCTGGTCTGCTGGCGGGCCCTGCTTGCTCTGTGGTGGCTGCTTCTTGGCTGGCTCGTTGTTGCTGGGTCGGCTGTGTCCCCCCGCTGCCGCGTCCGTCATTGCTGGTCTGCTCCCCTGGTCTGCTGGCGGGCCCTGCTTGCTCTGCGGTGGCTGCTTCTTGGTTGGCTCGTTGCGGCTGTTGTTGCTGGGTCGGTGGCCCGTCTGCGGGCGCCGCTGCTTGGGCTGTGGCTTGGTGGTGTGGCTGCGCGGCTTCTGCTGTCGGTGTTGGGTCCTGTCTTGTCCCCTGGGGTGCTTGCTGACCCCTCGTGTGTCGTGCTGCCCATGCCCAGGGGTGGAGTGCTTGCTCCCCATCCGCTTCGTCCACTGGGATGGTGAGGGGGGTCCCCCCTGGTTCTAGGCTGGCTCGCAGTGCCGCTGCTCTGTGTCCCCTCGGTGCGAAGGGATCTTCGACGGGGAACTGTGTTCTCCCCCTCAGCACGTAGATGGCCCCCGCCTCCACTTCATCGACGACCATCTGCTGTAGCTCGTGCTCTTGTAGGTGTGCCGACATGTTTGGCAAGTTGCCTTGAGCTTGGCGACGGGTTCGGTGTATCAACTCCCCGTCTTCTGGGTCTAGCCAGGTGAGGCTTGGCTGCTGCGCGGGCCCATCCCACTGTAGTCTGTAGTGGCCTGTCCGGAAGGCCGCGGCCCCGGGTTCGCGTTCTCGAGGGTATGCCCGCAGGAACAAGTGCCACACGGACCCCCCCGCCGTTGCCACGCGGAGAGGATGTACCTCGCCTTGAGCTCCCATGGAGAGCAGCGGTCCCCCCCCAATGTGCCTTCCCTGCTGTCTGACTCTCGCGAATCCTCTGCGCTTGACTCGCTGGTAGCTTGGGGTGGCGGGCGAGGTTCTGGAGAGCACACAAAAGGCCCATCCCCCATGCGCTATATACCTGAAGTGCGCGTAGGAGTGTTGGGAAATGGGGAGCGGCGGCGGCATTGGGTTGGGGGGGAGATACCCCCCCATGGAAGCCAAGTAGTAGTTGGCTGGCGTGCTCCAAGTAACCGGCGAGTCAAGGGGGAAGGGCATTGGTACTGGTCCCCCCGTTGGAATGTGGATCGCCGTGGGGTGCTGCTGCGACGTGGTTTCGTCGGTTCTGACGTCTGCTTGTGGCTGTGTGGGTTGGCTGTGGCTTGCTGCTGCCGGTGTTTGTCCTGTCTGCGTTCGCAGCGCCTCCATTCTAGCTTCGTGCCGCCGCTCTCCGTCGGAGCTCTCCTTGCTGCCTGGTGCTGGCTCCCCGCTGCTGCTTGCTCCTTGGTGCGGTGTGGCTGTTGGTGGGTCTCTGGGAAGGTGGTGGAGGTTGAGCAGTGTCGCGAACTTGGCTTTGTCCCTCTCATGCCTGGCTTTCGCTTCTGCTGCCGCTTTGCTGTCTGGGGGCGGCTCCCCGCTGCTGCTTGCTGGCTGTGGGGGTGTCCCCCCTTCCTGCGGTTGGTCGTCGGCAAAGGGGGTCATCCCCACCATGTGTGCTGCTTGGTTCCATGTGAGGTGAGGGGGTTTGTCAACCCCCTGTCTGCGGAATTCTGCTCTGATTTCCGACTTAGTGTGCTTATTCCCTCTGCGCTGGTCGCCTTGCCCCTCGTGATAGGGCCTGTCTGCTCGCCCGCATTTGTTATCTGCCGGGCAGCTTTCCTCCTCAAGTGGCGGCGCCTCGCCCCCTCCCCCCTCTGTGGGGTCTGCTGCTGCAGCTGCGTCGGTGTTTGCCGAGTGTGCTGCTTCCTGTCCCCCCGCTGATGCTTGTTGCGGTGGTGGCTGCTGGTCTGCGGTGGCGGCTTCTTCGTGGGCCGGTTCGTGGTGTGGCTTGTCTGGCTGTGTGGCCTCGGCCGTGTGTTGGCGCCATCTTCCCGGTCTGCTCCCTTCTTGTCCTGGGGGGTTCGCTGCCGTTGGCTTGCCATGCGTGTCGTGCGGTGTTGCGCTGCCCTCGTGGGCTGGGGGGTGCTGTGGGGTCCTGTTGTCCCCTGTCGGCTCGGTGTTGCTTGTTGCGGTCCGCTCCGACCGTGGTCCGGCTTGTGTTGTCTCCTCTCTGGCCTCTTCGGCCCCGCTGCTGGCTGGTGGCCCCGTCTCCTCTGGGTTCCAGGGGTCCGGGTTGGGCTCGTTGCGGCTATATGTGGCTGGCGGGCCTTCGTCCTGGTGCCACGGGTCGGTTTCGGGGTCGTACGGCAGGGGGTATCTGACTGTCCACGGTCCCCTCCTCTCCGCTGCCGCTGTTGCCGTGGCGTCTGGTGCTGGTCCGGCGTTGCTCGCCCCTCCTGTGCTGGAGCTGCTCTGCGCCTCCGCTGCTGCTGTCTGCTGTGGACTTGGTTGTGTGGCTGCTGCGGCTTGCGGTCCGATGCTGCTCCCCCCAACTTGGCTGGAGCTGCTCGCCCCGTCTGCTGCGTCGGCTTCCATGGACTCTGGGGGGGGGTGGCCCCTCCCAGACGTCATCTTCGATCTCCCCTTCTGGCAGCCTCGGCATCCACCTTCCTTCTCGGTGAATCCACGTCGTTCCCCGAGGCCACTGTTGCGTCAAGCTTTCTGGCGGCGGCGGTGGGGGGACGCTGGTTGTCGTCGTCGTGTCCGGGGCTCCGAGCCTTGTCGTTCCGGCCGTCCCCCGCGCCAGGCTCCAAAGCACTGCAACAGTGCCAACCCAGAGCCACTTGCCTCGCCTGCTGCCCCCTGTCTTGGGCTGCATCGCGGTCTGTCCCCCCGGCGGCATGCCGAGCGGTCTGACAAAAACTGGCGCTGCTGTGCTGAGGCTCGGGCCAGGCTGCCGGTTGCGGCTGTTAGCTGGCACTGACATGCGACCAAAAGCTTCACGTGTGACAAGCAGCCGGCGTGACAGCGACATGTTGAGAGACAAGCTGCACATGCTGTTGAATGACATGCTGTCGGCTTCCGTTCTCTCCTCCCCTTCTGTCTGCGGTGTGGCGGTGTCGGTGTGCTGTGGGCATCCCCTGTGGCATGGTACTAAAGCGCTGTGCAAAGAGCGTGCGGTGGCGTGTGTGATGTCTGCTGTGTCCCCTGGGGTGTGTGCACAGACGTGTCGGCGGGTATGCGCGCAAACGGCGTGCATAGGTCCCCCCTGCGGTTGCGTGCATTCGTCCGGGCTTGTCGCCCATCATTCATGCTCTGTCGTCCCGGAGGCGGGGCCTCCGCTGTCGTCTGGTGCGGTTCCGGAGTGCTTGTTGCTGTCCCCGTCTCGTGGGGGCGAGGTTCTGCAGTTGCCCTTGCTTGCCGCTGCTCCAGGGGGGGTCGAAGGCCTGAATGAACTTGTCTTCCAGGCTGTTCCACTTGATGCGGTCGGCTGCTGCCTGCTCCCACTCGGCTCCTGCTATTGTCACAATATGCCGTTCTGTGTCCAGGCTGCTGTT